GCTGAGCCACCCAGGGACCCCCAGGTTTAGTGTTTTAATAGGAGTCAACTCATTTAATTAAAATTCTTATTTCTCATTTCAATTTTATGAACACTATCAGAAAGGCTAAAATACAACTCTCAAATAAGACAAGTTCAAAATAGTAAAACCCAAGTTAGACTTCTGGCATGGAAATGAAAACTTATGAAGTTTTAAAGAATTAACTATGCTCATCTGGAGAAGAAAAACAAAATCTTTTAAATATAAAAAAGTTTTAGATAGTATTTAGATGACATTCAAGAAGTTTTAGTTACCATTAATTACAAAAATGAAATTGCCATTTTTAAAAGATCATTTACATATGCCTTACCATATTAGATTCAAATACTCTATTCAGTTCTCTTTCAAAAATTGTGTTTTTTTAAATGATAGGAAAGAGATCTATTTTACAAAGAAGTTGCAAAAAATAAACTTATGTAAGCTTGCAAAAGTGGTCACAGTTTACAATTAAAATGTTTATTAAAAATAATGTGTGACAGCTAATTACGGGTTTAATTTTCCTGGTTTGAAGCTTAGTCTGTTGTCAATATTAACTTCATCAAGTAACAACAAACAACGTAGAGGGCTCCTAACAGTTCTCCTTCCCTCTAACCCCACCCTGAAGCCATGCCAAAGAAAGAACAAGCAAGATACTTTTTTTTTAATGTACCTAAACTTTACAATCTTAAGGAAATCTTAAATTTTAAGGAAAGAAGTTATTTTTAATATTTTTTTCTCTCATGGAAGTGTTATTGGAAAGTATTGCAACTGATTGTAACATTAAATAAAAAACACTAACATTATACTTGGGACGTAAGCAACATTCCCAACAGAGTAGTATCAGAAGAAAAGAAGACACCAGATGGGATTTTTATTAATCTTAAGAAAAAAAGAAATTCCTCTTAAAACTACCTGAAGCAACCCATTCCACTTTTCCTGACTCCCTCCCAATGCCGAGTCCCTCCCATTTTCCACTGTAGCCTCTGCGACACACATCTGATGATAAATAAGGTCTCCTGTACCCTGAGTCTCTTCCGACTCTACCTCTGCCTGAAAGGAAACCTGCCACCTCACCCACAAAACGGCTTCCCCTGCAGATGGCAAGAGAGAGAGCTACTCATTCTTCCAGACTGTGTAACTTCCCTACCTTTCCTGGCAACTCCCCTTGCTCTACTTTGAAGCTCAGAACTAATGGCAGCATTGCCATCCCTCCATCTACCTATCCATCCAACAAATACATGCTTAGTGGCTACGTACCAGGCACTGTGTTAGATGCAGGCTACCGGACAGTAAATCCCACTGTTAAAATCTAGGGAAACAGATGTGATGCAATCACACAAGTAAAAAATTGCCAATTCGGAAAGAGTAGGAAGCTATGTGAATGAGGAGGATCCAGTGAGGCCAAAGTGAGGGAAAGAGTATTTCAAAAGGAAGGAAGGCATGAATTCAGTTTTCAGGGAAAGCAAGTGCAACTGGGCACGGTGGGTAAGATGAGTAAGGAGAAAGTGGTAGGAGTGAGGAAGTGGGCAGAGCCTTGAGGCCATGGACATGAGGGCCAGAACATGCAAGGCCATAAGGGTCACATTGAAGACTCTGGATTTTATTCTAAATGCAATCAGAAACAAGTAGTAGAGTACTTTGATTCTGTAGCACAGCGACCTGCTCACCTGCCCATGTTTACCCAGGATGCTTGCCCTTCACCTCTACCCCAATTCCTGACATGATAGATGGCTTTAACATCCGTGCCTTCTCAGTTACACGGCATCCTGTGTTCCAGTGACCTCCACTACACCTCAACCAGACTTCTCACTTTTTCCTTGTCCCACACTATTGCACCTGTGAAAATCCAATTTAATGTTTCCAATATTTCAGTGTCAGACCATAACCTCCTTCATTCCTTCCACTCCCTAACATGTCTACCATCCAACCTCTAAATTTTTTTTATCCGGTTAGCAAATAATTGAAAGTAATATGATCTCATTGGAATAAGTGGAATAATTACTATTTCCTCTATCCCTACACCAAGGTATGTAGGCTTCTCAACACCTTTTTCCATGCTTATGCCAACATATATGAACTTATTCACAAAGAGACGCTTGGTTTGATTACAAAAGGTGAATCATACTGAATACATAATTCTGTGACTCAGAAGGTTACAATAAAATTTTTGTAAAAATAAAAATCATGAACAAATCTCAAGCCAGGAGATACAGATTGAATTCATTAAGTTGCATTAGGTTGCATTACAAGCATTATTCTAGGTTCCCCTTCACAGGGGACCTTCACTTGTGGTTTGCTGCAACATCTTGCTGACTCCAGGACACCTTGAAATGGCGTTCAAGTGGAGTGAAAGTACTTCCAGTCTTGGTAGTAGAGAGGAACCAATGCTCGTGACTGAAAACGTTGGGAGCAGGAAGGTTTTTCACAGCCCTATAGCTGTGGGTAGCAGGTCTCAGGTCGTGAGAACTAAAGCCATCCGCCTTTCACCACCTGGCTCGCTACTGCCCAAGAAATGTGCAGGGCAGACTGCTGGCAGGTACTGAGAGAACCACAACCATGAGGAGCAAAGAAAACTAAAACTCACATGGGATTTGGAAAGAAAGATGGCTAACAGAAGGGAAACTGGAGATTCCTACTGTAGTAGAACCAATGGAAGAAACAGATGAGAATTTTAATGAAAATATAATGGAATTACAGCACTACAAACAAAAAAAAACCAAAACCCAATGCTTTCAGGAACTAAAAAACATGATTTCTTAATTAGAAATTCAATATCAAACAGAAAGAGAATGGCTGCCTTTGAGAACCACACTAGTGGTCAGAAAAATCAGGTGAAAATATCTCACAAGATACCCTGTGATAGACCCTGAGGGAAAAGGCAAGTTGTGTGGAGAGCATATCCAGGAGACAAAACAAATAGGAGGAGAAGAACATGTGGAGAGGTAATAATTGCATAAATAATGGAAAAAACCTTTTAGGACTCAAGAAAGTCTCGAGGCCCTGAATATCAGGGATAAAGAGAAAACCCTGCCAGGTTGTTGGCACCATGGGACAAAGGCTTTCTGGGATGGTGGACAGTTGGCAGTAGAGACACTGCTTAGGGACACCAGGGCACTGACACGGGGCCTCCTGAATGCTGAATTTGGTTCACACACCAAAAGAGTCCAATGTCTGTACTTCATGCTGCAGTTCTCCTAGGGTCTGGCACATTTCCTCTTGTCCTTTGTCACTAGTATCTGAGTTCAACCTCAGGGACTCTACAGTAGTCATTTCCTTCCACAGACCATGTGAAACACTGCAGGTACTAAACTACCTAGGTAAAAATTAGAAGTATAACAAAAAGAAAATATTCATAAGGGAGGTAGATGCATGATTGTTACAAGAAGCCTTTACCTTTATTTATGAAATATATATGAAGGTGGTATGGTCATAGACAAGAGCAGAGACTCTGGATGCCTGCCACTTACTAGCTCTGTAACCATGGGTAAGAAACCTTTTCTGTGTTTTGGTTTCCTGAAAAATAAATGGAATTAATCGCGGCTATCTCATTAAGTGCAAAGATTAAATGAGTTAGTACATGTGCCACATTGGGAGCTTTGGCACATAGCAAGTCCTTAGTAAATAAAAGCAATGCTGCTGTTGCCACCACTGCTTACAGGAAAACAGCACTGTACATAGAACTTTAATTTTAGAATCCGAAAAGTTGAGCTTAAATGCCAACTTTAAGATTTTAGAGTTTTATACCATAGCTATGGTAGTTATTCCTTCTATGCTTACATTTTTTATATGTAAAACAGGAAATATGAATACCTTTCTCTTTCAACATCCATCCATCTATCCACTGAGCATCTACTACGGATCAGCTATTGCATAGTGGCTGGAATAGAAATATGAATAAGATACAGTTCTGCCCTTCAAGAGCTCACAGTCTGGTGAGCAATATTCAAGAACCTTAGTTTCATTTCATCTCAGTATTTTTTTTAAATATTTTATTTATTTATTCATGAGAGACACAGAGAAGGCAGAGATATAGGCAGAGGGAGAAGCAGACTCCTCTAAGAGAGCCTGATGTGGGACTTGATCCCAGAACCCCGGGATCATGACCTGAGCCTAAGGCAGAGAGTGTTAAGATGCTTAAGTGCTGAACCACCCAGGTGTCCCCCATTTCAGTATTTCTTAAAGTTCTGTTTGCCTTAGAAGGTGAAGAAAGGACCACAAGGGTCAGCTATGTGCCATAGTAAAAAGCAAGTTCCAATTTCTGATCAGAGAAGAGGATAAAACATCTTGGGGAGACAGCTCTGTTCAGAGGTTGGACTACTAGCTCACAATTTGCTTCTCTGAATGATCTTTTGAGACCCAAGCCTGTTTGAATAAACAGCTCTCAAGCCACTGTCTGAGAGGAGCTACTCTTACCTGATTTCCTTGTTGACACATCAATCCCCTTTTAGAGTATGCTGCCTTGGCACACTGGGTAGGAGACTAGGAGGAGTAAGTTCTTGGTATCTCTTCTATGTCACTGCAATAGTAAGCACCTTATCCTAAAACTTGATATTAAAAGTGCTTATTTTGATCATCCCAAGCGAGTTGGCTATGGAAAGGGGTGGGAGAAGATGTTTGCCTTTAATCTTTTAGTTAACTCAGGGGATTTAGAATGACCATCCTGATAATAATTTAAGACAATTACCAATAAAAAATGAAATAGAAAGAGACTATGAATTTATAGGAGAGACCAAATGCCCATTCTTTATAAAGAAACAGTGTACACCAACGTGTTTCCATCTGTCACCATCAGTTGGCATTTAATAGCTATGATTTAAAACTCTATTATTAAAAGCCTCATAGAAATTAGAATGGCATCATACTTTAAACCATATTAATTTGACATTTGGTATCTTTAGAAAGTATGTAATTATACCATTATTAAAAATTAGTATCCAGAATATTTGATTTTATATATATATATTATATATATATATTATTTTTTTTTACAAAGTAAAACAAATTATATATGTTATTCAAAATCATGTATTTGGCTCATAACTGGCCTAGATTTATTACAAATTCACTTGAATGGTGGTTACAGACAGTAACAAAAAAATGATTCTGGCTTCTGTGTGTGTGAAAACCATTCTAAAAATCAATATAATTTAAATAAGTATTAAACCAGAGCTAAGTGGAAATTACCTAGCAAACAGGAATACTAACATCTGTATCTTATTTTAAAGTTGCAATTGGATAAATTGTATTTAAGAACTCTACATAAATCTACTACCACCCATAAATTAAAGTATATTTATTATTATTTTTGTACCTAATCATGTTTTAGACTTAGAGTAAAATCTTTTTGCTTATAGAAAATAAATCTGACAATTTATCCAAACATTGTTACATAAGAAGTTTTAAGAAACTGTAAATAATTCTTAATACTCTCATTTTGATTCTCCGACTTTTCAAGACTATGTTGTATTTCCTTCAAACATACTTCCTGCTGTTGTGCTTTCTAAATAAGAAAAGAAATAAAGATAATCAATAATGACATTCATATCAAAGGGTAGTCATAATGTAAAATTCATGTATACAATTAAGTACATGACTTTTAGTTTTTTAAGAGAAAGAAATTTAACATCTGATATATGCATTAACAACTTACCTTAGAGTTCATTTGTCTTTAAAATCCAGCATAACTAAAGTACATACCTGGTTGATCTCTACTGTGATATAGTTTGTTGTAATACACAGTCAACCCCATATAATTACATATTTAACATGATTAACATAACAGATTTTATTTAAAACTGCCATAATTATTTTTCATTACATTTAACATGACCTATTTTAATACTAGTTTTTGCCATTTCCTCTGCCTAAGAAATCATATTTCATACCATAAGATTTTTGCTGCCTTAAGAAGTGTCAGAATTCTAGTTTTTTTTTTTTTTTAGAATTCTAGTTTTGATAATATGGACATTTTGTTTTTAGAATCCTTTAAAAATAAAAAGAACTCTAAAAATTATATTCTTGAGACGCCTGGGTGGCTCAGTGGTTAAGCGTATGCCTTCCGGCCCAGGGCATGATCCTGGAGTCCCAGGATCGAGTCCCACGTTGGGCTCCCTGCTTGGAGCCTGCTTCTCCCTCTGTGTCTCTGCCTCTCTCTGTGTGTCTCTCATCATAAATAAATAAAATCTTTAAAAAGATAAAAATAAAAATTATATTCTTTGTTTGAGGGAAAAATTAAAAGCCCAATAATATTCTTTAAAAATACTCAGTTGCAAATAAATTCTCAAGTAGGTCTATTCACTGAAAATACTTCAGACAGATAGACAGCCTGCCGTTATCATTTAGCTTCCAATTGAAATGCAGGCACTTTAAAATGAGAAATCTTTTATTTCCTTCCTATCAGGTATATACCTGATTACTTCTGAAACTGAGTGATGCCCCTTGGGGGCAGTGGAGTGGTATGAAGCAATGTGCTAGGCTGGCTACAGGAAGTTACAGAATGAATATAGTGAATCTTTGTGGAACATCCATTTTACTCAACAGTTTGGAGAGAAAAATATTCCTAAGAACACACTTATATTGTAGGGTAGAATATAAAATGTTCATAGATTTCAGGATAATATGTTAGACTCCAAAGACATTTCAGGCTTTAGGCAGGTCGGCCTGGATTAAGGGAGTGAGGCCATGCTTCCGTCTGTGCATTCACTCTGCCCCAGCTGAAGCACTTGAACAGAAACTGTGAAGAAGCCTGCTTGTGTGGTCAGGGTGCTGAGGAAGACACTGGGATATAATCAGCTATGAGACCTGCTCTCAGGGCGCTTACAATTCAATTGGAGCTAAGATATGTATACAAAATAAATACGGACCTGCCCACGGAACTGTCCCCTGGAAGGGACAGAACACATAGACTCATTTTTCAGCAATATCGAAATCTGTGCTTATAATTCTCAATTTTTACTACTGTAAAAATTATCAGGTTTAATAGAACATTACATCTTAATTTTATTTTTAACGATTACTTAATTATTTATTCATGAGAGACACAGAGAGAGAGGCAGACACACAGGCAGAGGGAGAGGCAGGCTCCCTGCAGGGAGCCTGATGCAGGACTCTATCCCAGGATCCTGGGATCATAACCTGAGCCAAAGGCAGACCCCTCAACCACTGAGGCAAACAGGTGCCCCAATATTTTTTTTAAAGATTTTATCTATCTATTTATCTATTATCTATCTATCTATCTATCTATCTATCTATCTATCTATCTATCTAAGATTTTATTTATTTATTCATGAGAGACACAGAGGGAGAGCAGAGACATAGGGAGAAGCAGCCTCCATGCAGGGAGCCTGAGAGGGGACTCGATCCCAGGACCCAGGGATCACAACCTAACCAAAAGGCTGATGCTCAACCATGGAGCCATTCAGGTGCCCCTAAGATTTTATTTATTTATTTATTTGAGAGAGAGAGAGAGAGAGAGAGAGAGAGCGCGCAAGAGAGCCCAAGCAGGGGGAGTGGCAGGCAGAGGGAGAGGGAGGGGCAGAATCCCCGCTGAACAGGGAGTCCACCACAGGGCTGGATCCTAAGACCCTGGGATCATGACCTGCGCTGAAGGCAGACACTTAACCAACTGAGACATCCAGGTGCCCTAGAACATCACACCTTAAACTTATTTATTTTGGTAGCTTTAACCAAGCATTGGGACTATTATAGAGAAACCCAACTCATGTAAGTACTTATTTTTTCAGAAGCTTTAATTACACATATTTTACAGTATCAGAAACTCTGATGGTGAAAAAAAAATAAAAATATATAAATAAAAGAGAGAATAAAGGGAAGATCCATGTCAAATTAAAAGTGAGAAATCTTTGTTCTGATGAAGTTGCCATGGAAATTTTGATGGCGATAAAATTAAACTAATACTGCATGCCAAAAATAATCTAACTTCTGAACCTTTCACGTTTTTAACTTTTTATACATTTGGGAATGAAAAAAACAGTTTCTATGGTGTCTCCGGCTCCCAGAAAAGATAAACTATCATCATTTTCTATGTCATCAAGTATACAGTTTTGAAGTAATTTAGTCACGACTAGTGCTAGCTTCTGTAGAATCTTATGCCAATTGACGATTTTCATGAATATTTAGGAAGAGACATCAGAAGATTAATTAAACACAGCCAATTTAGGATTTTCATTTCATGGCTGAGTGGCCCACAGCACCTATCTTATATGCAGATATAACAACACTGAATATTTACTTAATACAAACTCATCACTTTCTAAAGTATAATATTCATTACTCAAGACAGATATCAAAATCTAATTCATAAGAGTTTAAATTGTGTATCTTAAAAAATGAAAAATTCATACCAGAAATTCCTGAGTAGATTATATCTGTAACTTTCATTAAGCAGCTGTCGTGTGAAAGTAATATGCAGGAAAGGGCCAGACGAGGCTTTGGGGAAATGTGCTAGGAGCTACCAAGGATGCACAGTAATAATTCTTTGGCATAACCATGACATTTTAAATTTTCATAGCTTAGATTATTTGTTATCCTTAATATTACCAGAAAAGCAAGAGTCCTGATTCCCTTCACTTCATACTTTAAGTCAACTACATGGTAAGAATGTTAAATGCTAATTTATTTTTTATGAAAATACATTAAGTCATACTAATACTTACACTGTTTATTTTGCAAACAAGTTGATTTTGTTCTTCACTTTTCTTTCTAAGCTCAGTTTCCAGATCTAATATTTTGATCTGTAAAGCCCTCTCTCTAGATGACATTTTCTCTATTTCTTCAGAAACCTGTAATTTTCATTAAAAGAGTAAAATAACTAAATATGCTTTTTTAAAAGTGTGATCTAAAACCTTGACATAGTTATAACTGTACCTCTTTCTCTGAACAGATACTTTAATTACAAGATGTTTAATGATGTTCTATCTTCAGGAAACACATAGAGCAAAAACATATGTTTACTTCTCTTTGCAGTATAAGTATCTGCAAAATTAGTTTGAGATGGAAGACGTATACATATTTGCACTGCTCTGTGACTTAGGTAGGTGTTTTGCCCAATAATATATTTTCATAAGCTACTGAGACCAGTGGGCATGTTTTACTGTATTTATATTCACCATGATGTCCAGACCGTGGTGGTACACAGAAAGTTCTCATTCAGTGCTGACTATAGACTGGATGGATGAGATTAGGCAGGGTAGGGGACATATACACTTCACTCACATACACAAAGGAGATGGCTTTTTCATTCATTCACTTCCAAAGTGATCTGAATTTGAGTTTTCTTATTTCTATGATTGCGTATTCTAGCAGAAAGTCTAGTTTAGCTATGTTCATCCAACAATTCAAATACATGGGAACCTATTTGTAAGAATGTTGTGTTGGAGCCACAAGGGTAAGTGTTGAGGCAAGGACTAGTTCAGGAGCAAGGAGCTAGTGGGAAGGACTGTCCTCTAACCACACTCCTATAAACTCAGTTCTGAGTTACTATAAAGTAATCTACAAAGATTTCTTTTGCACAAATTCCAAGGGCAGTTGTGTATAAGGGATGCTGGCAGGATCGGAAGCTGTAGGAGAAAGAGCCCTTGACGATGTCCTCAGAATGGACAATGGTGATAAGGCAATGATGGTACTCCTCACCTGGCAAGAACTAGAGACAGAGACAGCCCACATTTCAGTGCAGCAGGAGAGACAGAAGAAGGCAATCACATTTCTGGGAATTCTGAACACTTCTGAGAAGGAATCTGAGAACACCTAGCATTTCTGAAGTCCACTTAGGCTGAACCCAGGATAAAACCATTTATTTTCCTCTCAAAGGTTGATGGGGCTGAGAAATCCAGATTACATTTCTATCATTAGCAATACATTCTACTATTTAGCTTTTATTCAATGATGTATGTTTCAAAGTCAATTTAAATTGGTTTCTCAGAGTTAAAAAAAAATCAAAGTATATTATGTTTATATATATGTCAAAAAATATCAAAATATACATATGTGTGTGTATATATATATATATATATATATATATATATATATATATATGACACCAGTGATATAAGAGCTACACTTCAGGGATATCAGATTTTTTTTTAAGATTTTATTTATTAATTCATGAGAGACCGAGGGGCGGGGGCAGGGGCAGAGACACAGGCAGAAGGAGAAGCAGGCTCCACGTGGGGAGACTGACATGGGACTCAATCCCGGGTCTCTAGGATCATGCCCTGGGCTGAAGGCGGCGCTAAACTGCTGCGCCACTAGGACTGTCGGGATATCAGATTTTATCTATGTGGAATTGCCATTAACAGGCTTGAGAAAGACATGTGTGGAAGACAGTTTAGAAGGAAAGATTCAGAACTTGGTATTAGACATGTTAAGTCTGAGATGCCTATTAACAATGGAGATGTCAAATAAGTAGCAGAATATCTGAGTCTAGATTTCAGGGGAGAGAAAAGTCTGGGGCAGAGATATATATCTGAGAGTCATCATGGTAGAGACAATCTCTTTTTAGCATCATTCAATCTGATGAAGAAATTCATTATCCTCATTTCACCAATAAAGGAACTAAAGTTGAAAGAAGTTATTCAGGGCAGCCCCGGTGGAGCAGCAATTTAGCGCCGCCTGCAGCCTGGGGCGTGATCCTGGAGACCCTGGATCGAGTCCCACATCAGGCTCTCTGCATGGAGCCTACTTCTCCTTCTGCCTGTGTCTCTGCCTCTCTCTCTCTCTCTCTGTTGTCTCAATAAATAAAATCTTTGAAAAGAAAGAAAGAAAGAAAAGAAAGAAAGAAAGAAAGAAAGAAAGAAGGAAGGAAGGAAGGAAGGAAGGAAGGAAGGAAGGAAGGAAGGAAGGAAGGAAGGGAGGGAGGGAGGGAGGGAGGGATTCACTCTGGGTCAGGGTGTAATGTGTCAGAGGCAGAATTCAAATCTAGTTCCTGCTGGACTCCAAAGCCCATCTTAAGTCCTTTTAAGATTACATTTTCAAGTCATTTGATAAATTTACCTCTTCTTTAAGACTTTTCCTGAATCCTTTCCTATCACCCCCACATTAAACTAACGATGTCCTCCGGTATACCTTGTACACTCCCTCTGTTATGGCACCTACATGCTGGATGACATTTGTCTGTTCACATATTATCTTCCCACTGGACTATGAGTGTCCTGAGAACTGAAGCCAGGTATTTGGAAGAAGTTATAAAAAGACATGACCTCCGGGTGACCCACGAGCTGGACCTGGGCAACTAGAAGTTCCCCACCTTCTCCCCTGTCCTTGAGATAGGTATGTGTTCTGCTTTCCTCCTCGGTTCTCAGAAGCCGCTCCAAGTAAGGAGCCTTGAGAAAGGAATGGGGTGTTGAAGCTATTTGGACTGGGTATATGACTGAACCTAGTTAAGGGCCTGTACACAAACTTTTAAGATTCTGTCAAGTGGGTGTAGAAATCTACTCATCTTATGGTCATCCAAGACAACCCTCATGTTCCCTTGCTTATTAAACCTGTCTCCTTTCAACCTGGAGTGGTCTGCCTCTTGCTACAGTCTCTCCCTGCCCTCTGCACGCAGGTTTCTGATAACACCAGGGAAACTGCTGAGCAGCTTGTGAACTAACTAGGTCTTAATTATCTTTGCATCTCAAATACTAGAAGCGTGCCTGACACTCAGTGAGATGTTTATTAAAGGCTAGCAAAATGGATTAACTGGAATTTAATTCTTGCATGTATTCATGTAAAAACATTGGCCAAAAGAAAAGGGAGTTGAGCTCCACAGCTCACTAGGTCCTGACTAAAACCAAAATGTTTACTAATTTGCATAATTGCTTTGGTTTTATTTGAAAAAACTAAAAAACAAAAAGAAGGAGGGGGATCTCCTTCATGTTTTCCATTTCTGCCTTTTACCCTGCCACATCATCATTTACCTAGTTAAGTAACAGTACCAGTAATACAGATGTTTAGCTCCAAAAGGGAAAAGTAGTTAAAAAAACAAAAATGTAATTGCTCTCTTCACCCTGTCATCAGGATAAAAACAATAACTGTAGGTTTGGTAAGATGAGATATTGTCTGTTTAAAAAGACGACTCTTTGGTAAACTAATTAAAAAGTTTCTAAATAAAGGCCATCTGTACCTTTTGTCTTCCTTCTTCTAAAGCAGCTTCCAGCTGTCTGGCCAATGCTGTATATTCTGCAGATTTCTCTTTAAACTTAAGATTGCTATGCTTAATACATTCTTCTTGGTTTGCCAGCTTCTTTTCAAGCTCTTTATTTTCCGCATCCATCTGTTCTAATTTTCTTTTTACAGAAAACATATATTTTAAAATTATAGTGCGTAGAGAAAAATGTAACACCAATTTTAAGTCAATTTAATACTTACTGTTTAAGGTTTTCACACTTCAACTGAATAAGATAATTTTCCTCTTCCAGAGAAAGCTTTCTCAGAAGATTATGATTTGCATCAACCTAAAAGGGGAAAAGTAAAGTTTTCTTGGTTATTTCCTTTATAATCAACTTCCAAAGAAATCTATGTACTTTATTGTTAGAATAATCATAAAAAAACAAGAATACATAAATATTATTACTCCTACACAGAGACACACAAAGAAATATTACACTGTCAAAAAACAAAGTCCTAAATTCCTAGTTAATTCTAAAAACACTGCCTCATAAAAAATCACCTACTAAAATATTTTCTGGAAGATGGCAACTAAAACATTCTGAACAATGCTTTAATGAAAAAGAACATTTATCACGTGAATTTGAAGACTAACAATATTAATCTCCTTTTGATGGATTTTTAGGTACTCTTACAGTTTCCTGTTTTAACTAAAGATAGTGATTGATAATGACTACCTATGAAGTTGTAGCTATAAGTAAAAACTATATTTGTGAGAAACAAAACAAAACAAATCAACCAAAGACAATTCCTGATACCAAGAAAGAATATCTTCCCATTGCTTCAAAAGCTATTCTTATTTTAAGAAGCTTTGAAAATAAAATTTTTCTCATAATTTAATTAATTATTTAGGTTATCTATGCAGATTTGACATTTTCCTAGAAAAATCTCTTCTCAGAGATTTAAATTTACCAAAATTTTACTTGTATGCTTTTAAAAAAACAGGATGCATTTCAAAAGTAAAATCCAGATTACATTTGGAAGACAGGGAATTGTTCCTAAAATTGTTTTACAAATAACCAAAAACACATACATGCTTCTTTGAAAAAAACAAGAAACATTTATTAAGCACTTACTTTGTGCTAGGCATTGAATTGGGATGTGGCTATGTGGTGACTAACTAGGGACCCATAATCTCTATTCGGAGGGAGTAAAAAAGTATAATTTAGAAAGAAAGTAGTTGAGGATAATCCCAAATGAATTCTATGCATAATTCTAATTGAAATAAGTCATACTTTTTATAAGGTAAATTACAATAATTTAGCATATCCTGATGTCAAAAAATATATATATGAACATAGCATTGTCCTTCTCTCATGCTATTACCATGTTCTGAAATATATAAATACATATTTGTCTGAAAAAACTAAAATGAGAAATGTTAGTTACCAATTTTTCATGATAAAATAAGTATCTACAATAAACTGATAAGCTGATTTAGATGGGAGTAAAAACAAAACAAAACAAACAAAAAAACAAACCAACAACTCAACCCCTGACATGAGTGCCCTCAACTGGTGAAATCATTCCAAAGTGTTCCTTTAACATATCTAGTAGAAAGCAGAATAATGGCCGGACACCTGGCCCTGAAGCTCCCTAATGGTGCACGCCTGGTCTGCACATTTCCCCTTGTAGTGCTGCAGACTCTCCTGACACTCGTGAAGTCTCCGTTCTGCTCCCGTCAACGAATCATGGACGTGCTCTAACTCCTTCAGATGAGACTCCATCTGGCCTCTCATCTGAGTTGTAACATTAGGGAAATAAGTGCAAGGTCACACATTCAGCATTAATGTTTTTACTATCTTAAATACTAGACAGCCTCATAATATAATATGTATCTTAGGTATAAGGGTTTTAAACAAAACGATTCAACCAAATAGATACAGATAAACATTAAGTTAGACTCTGCTAACAAGAACACATACCTCAAAAAAGTAAGGTTGTACTTTAGCTTTCAAAAAGTTTGTTGAGTAACTATTATAATACTGTAAGTTAATTACATTAGAATTAAAAATATTTAAATAGTTTTTTAAAAAGTTGAGTAAGTGCATATAGTTATATTGGCCTACAGGGAGAATGTTTAACCTACTTAGGAAAGCAAACTTTTTGAATCCTGTCATTTATATTCAAGCATAGTCTTTTTTTTTTTTAAGATTTGTTTGTTTATTTATTTGAGAGAGAGCAAGAGAGAAAGAGACAGAAAGAATGAGCACAGAGTGAGCAGCAAATTCCCCACTGGGCAGGGAGCCCGATGCGGGGCTCAATCCTAGGACCCTGTGAGCATGTCCTGAGCCAAAGGCAAACGCTGAACCAACTGAGCCACCCAGGCAGCCCTGAAGCATAATTATTACTAGTAAAGCTGGTATGGCCATTTTCCACTGTCCAGCCAACAGTCTAAAGTAATTGTCACTTTGTCATTCAATCTTGTAACTCAGATATTTCAATTAGAACAGCCTTGCTGCACTCATTTTAGTCCAGATTGGTGGGGTTTACTGGGTATTATGTTAAGATAGCTAATATGATCAGTCCTCAGTAGACTGTCATTTCATCATTAATATTACTATGAACAAGTCTCTCTACTTGTACCTATATTCATCTCTTTGGCTACTGAAGTGCCTCACAGTGGCACTTTTGTGGAGATGTGACAAGAAGCAACCCTAAGAAATGTTTCACAATTAAGAAAAAATAACCAGACTTAGGGCATTTAGGAGGAAAACACAAGAGCCAGACTCTTGCCTTAAGACAGGGAACACCAAGAGCTACTTGTGCACATCTAGCATTCTTGATCACAAAAGATAGAATAAGAACAAAGCATACCTCTGGGTCCCCAAACACCCAAAAGCTCATGAGAACACCAGAAGATTTAACAGTAGAAAAGGAAAAGGAAAAAGTTCCTCTTAAAAAATGACCTTTCTGGTTTAATACCAGTTAGAAGACACTGTGACCTCACTGTATCTGAAAATCACAGGCTTGTGCCCCATCAGCCTTCTGAACAGGTTTTTTAATAGACTTTTATTTACAGTGCTGCCCAGCAAAAGAGGAGACCTTTGCGGTGGTGTGTCTCGTGAGAAAGAGAGACCAGGACACATGAAATGCTAGATGTGCTGCTAAAAATAGGTAAAAAGCAATTCTAAGAAAGTAGTAAGTTGCATGTTTGGTGGGCTATCTTTATCTCTGTTTAACCAGCAGAATGCCTGCTCTGGCTGACCTCTTCTTCACACTGTGCTTCACTCAGACTTCTCAATCCCAAGAAGTGGGGGCAATGCAGACAGTCACCTTTTTAAACTCACTTGGAAGTGCCTGGTAACATCCCATGACCTCTCCAGCCAGGAGTCAGTGTCCTACGACTTTCACTGCTTCCTTACCAAAACAACATGAGAAGACCCAAAGAGAGATGCGGTTTCATTTAAAAAGTTAAAAACATTCACAAAAACATCAAAACTTGCCAACACTGGCCTTTCCCTCATTCTGTTGCAATGGGGTGACAAAAAAGGAAATGATGCTGTTTTTTTAAAAATATTATTTTTCTTCCAAAAAGCACTTAGCAGAGAATATTTACTTTGCTTTTAGACACAAAAGATTTAGTACCAAAAACAAAAAGGTGGGATTAAAAATGAGAAATACTCAAGTTTCCATATTTATGGCTGATGAAGCCAATGATAAGTGATAACCATTTTTTTTAGATACGTGAGTCTGCTCTTATATCAGAAAAATTAAACATTTATGCTATTTTCCAAATATTAAGGAAAAAGTAAAAAAACATTCATACAAACAAACATTTCAAGCCTGGAAGAAACATTATCTCCTTAGAAAACAAACTCCTACAGAGACTTAAGACAGATAATTCCTAGGTCAAGACTAAAGAAAATGACTACAATGAAGGAATATGTATAATACTCATAAAGTACAAAAATAGAAGTATTACTTGATTGTTTAAAACATCAAACTCACCTTCTCTAATTTTTTATTTTTGTTTTTTGTAATTAGGTTATTTTCATGTAGCAAATTTCCACATCTGCTTTTCAGCATTTCAGCTGCTTCTTGCAACTTTTGTATCTGAAAATAAAATATATTAGAGTAACACATTTTATTAAGACCTTAATGTAAAATAAAAAGCAAAACATTTGAATTTTTAATTATAAACAAATCATTATTTCCTTATCAATACCCTCAGCATCTTTACCTAATGTCATTCCTCACTCAGTGCTCTACTCCAATACACAATCCTTTTATGATTTACCTGTCTTTTCCCATTAGTACTTCTAGACTCTCCTTGAGGCTGAATATTAGCGAAATCTTTATTTGCAGGTCAGTATCACTTTAAAGAAATAAAAAAAAAATCTGGAGACCAAGAAGTAATTGAAATATTGACATGTATGCAGATTTGGGAAAAGTCACATGCAGATTTGGGAAAAGTCACATTTATTAAACAAAATACATTTTTGCTTAAAAAATAAAAATCAACCTCTGGTCCAAACTAGCTCCCATACCAATTATTTTACACTCCAAAACAATGCTAAAAAAAAAAAAAATTAAAAAAATTAAAAAAAAAAAAAAAGCCTGAGCCCTTTATACAAAGCCCAGAGCCTAGAACATGCATATTATTCTTGCTAAGGATTAAACCCAAATACTCAGTTGGAGGACCTAGCTGACATTCTCAGTAACAGGGCCACAGTCCACCACAGCCTCTATCCTACCTCTGGTAAGTTCTTCATGACTGCAGTATTCTCACTGGACGTCTAAACTCCATCTTCCCATCTAAACCATCCAGATGAACTTCTTTCCTACTTATCTACAGAATGCCCTCCTTAAGCTTTAACCTTTAAAATTTACCTTTTACCTTTAATAATTCATTACGCTTAATTCAAATGCTCTCTCTGCTAGTAAAATCCAGCTCTTTATTGACCAGATTGTTACCACTGCTAAAGGAAGGACCTGGATAAGTCCCATCTTTCTCATAAAGTTTTTCTTGAATACTGTTTCCAAAACATAAGGTTTTGTATAAATTGCCATTGAACACAGCTCTATTCCACACCACATGTATTTTCATATTCTCTTCCAGGTCTTTCGTGTGAGTAAATCAGAATTTTATTTATCAGGAAAGAGAGAGTACTGAATTTTAATGACCCTAGAAGGGAGTCATTATGCTTTATAAATACCATTAAAAATATAAGATGACAAATAAATATAACTAAATTTAGCAAGATTATACAGAAGGTTCACATTATACCTATGTAACTAATTTTAGATCTACTTTTAGGAATAGCCAATACATACACAGTCAACGTCTGAATCAGGAATCAGCAGAATCATCTACTTATAATGATATATGGGACCTTAAAAAATACCTGGGACATATATTCTATCACAGCTCTATAACGTGTGTGTGTGTGTGTGTGTGTGTGTGTGTGTATAATTTAACATTAAAATCAGTGCAATAGTCACCTGAGTTTTATATACTTCAATAAGGGCTTTCTGTTGTTTTTCTACTTCTTGCAATTCTAAAAGTTCATTTTCAACAGAAACAACCTCATCCTTCAAAGCATCAAGTGTAGTCTAGCAAGGAAAATATAAACAGATTTTATAAATCATTAGTATTCATTTATACTCCAGTGCTAGCATTATAAAAACATAACTCATTTATCAAAAGGTTAATAAGATAATCACATTTATTGCATATAATTACCACTTAAATTCAAGATTTTTCAAAAATTAACAATACTTATGAATAACTATAGTAAGACTTATGTAAGACATATTTTTTAAACTTTTAAAATTTCCTGACAAAGAAAGACTTGGGAAATAGACCATGTTCTTAGATGGGAAGATTTGATACTATTGGCATACCAGTTTTTTTCCAAATGATTAACACCTTAAATGCAATTTCAACCAAAAATCTAACAGTTGGGAGTAGGGGGAAGAGGAAAAAATTAATTTTAAAACTCATACAGAGGGCAGCCCTGGTAGCGCAGCGGTTTAGCGCCGCCCGCAGTCCAGGGTGTGATCCTGGAGACCTGGGATCGAGTCCCATGTCGGGCTCCCTGCATGGAGCCTGCTTCTCCCTCTGCCTGTGTCTCTGCCTCTCTCTCTCTCTCTGTGTCTCTCATGAATAAATAAATAAAATCTTTAAAAAAATAAAAATAAAAAAAGATAAAACTCATACAGAAAAATAAATGGGAAAGACTAATTCTGAAAGGAATATTAAAGGTAGAAAATCTCAGTACTTATCATATTTTAAGAGGTACAAAGAACTAAAAATTTTAGGATACCAACATAAGAATATAAAGGTTAATGGAACAAAATCAGAAAAATACACTAAAATTATATTTAGTATATGATAAAGTTTGAATTTTTAAACCAATGAGGAAAATATGGATCACTAAATAATGGTAATGACTGTTAACTATTAGAAAGAAAATAGATTAACTACTTACCTCCAACATAATTTTTTTATATTTATTTATATTTTTAAAATAAAGTCAAAATTTTTGACAGAGGATACTGCTAAAATTTTGATTTTAGGATTGCAACCCTACTAAGCATAAAATCAAAAGAAAATATCAAACACTGTAAGGGTTTGGGATTTTGCCTTCCAAGTTGATAAATTACCTGGAACACACAGATTTGGGAATCTGTATGCTAGCAGAAGACATGAGACTCCTGAGTCAGACACACAAAACTTGATTACAGCAATAGCAGTAGCCAGTTGTCAGATTTGCATTTGTTTCCTAAGCCCCAGTTCCCCCAGGGCAACACAGTGAAGGCCAGATAACACCTGCATACATAGTGAGGTCACTGCAGAGGAGCAACCCCAAGTTTAGGGAGCCCAGATCTCGCATCAGGCAGTAAGCACGTCTACCCTTTGATAAGAAAACACTGCTGTCTTCCAAGGATGCTCGCTATACAAACATCCTTGAAAAGATAGTCTGGATTGCAGGCAGTCAGTGCTTCTACTTGTAAGATATGCAGAAATGTGACAGACATAGCAGAAGCCATAAAAGAAAAAAAATTCATCCACACATATGTGTAAATATATCTCTCCAAACTTCATTGCCTCTTCAAAATTTAAGAGGCAAACAAAATGTTAAAAATAGTAACAAATTATGACAAAGGATTAATACCCTTAATACAGAGTTCTTATGAATTAATTAGAAAAGAAGACATATAAAGGACAATGAGTAGGTAATTTATAAAGGCAGAAATGTAAATGATCAATAAATACATGAAAAAATGTTCACTAGTTATTGAAAAATGCTCTAGACACTGGATATTCTCCTATTAATGAAAAAAAGAACCAAAAAATCTTTTCCTTAATGGGGCTTATGTACTCTGCATATAGACAGACAAAAAGGGGATAGATGAACAGAAACAAGAATGTGAAGTAAGACGTATCCTACACAAAAGCTGGATATTGGGGATGGGCCGGGGAGACCTCCCGAGAAAGGGACTTCTGAGCAAACACTAAGAAGTAGTGTGGCTCTTTAGGGAAAGAGAATTCTCACAGAGAAAAGCAACTGTGGGAGACACTCTGGCCAGTTAGGGCAAAACCAGCAAGACGGTCAATGTGCAGGAAGGGAGAGAATGAAGGGGAGAATGGAAGGAGATGAAGTCAGCGGAGTACTGGAAAGCCAGATGCAACAATGCTTTCTTAGGTGTTTATTAACCAGATATCATTGGAGGGTTCTGGGTGGAGCAGTGACATGGTCTGACTTACATTTTTATGAGAACTACTCTGCTGCAGCTCTGAAACCTGACTGTAGGGGCAAGGGCAGAAGTAAAGTGGGCTCAGGAAATTACTGTAACTATGAGAGATGATGGTGGCTTAACCCAGGACAAAAGCAGTGGTGCTGGAGAGAGGCGGTCAAATCCTACATCTATGTGAAGTAGATCTGCTGACAGACTAGAAGCAGGTGGGAGAAAGGAGTCAACGATGACACCGGGTATAAGCACAGATGACTGCCGTTAACTGACATGAGGACAATTGTAGGATGAGCTAAAGGAGTTCTATTTTAAACATGCTAACTTTGAGACACCTATTAAATATCCAAGTGGAGATTTCGAGTAGGCAGTAGAATATATGTTTGGAATATGTTAGAAATATAAATTTGAGAGCCCCCAGGATACAGATGGTACTTAAAGCCCCGACACTAGTTGAGATTACCTACTGAATTTGAAGAGATTTGTTTTAAAATTGTCTACTACTGGAAAAAATATAGGGGCCCATTTTAGATGGGTAATTTGGAAATACATAACACCAACACTAAAAATGAGCCTCCCTTTTGCCCATGTAATTACAGTTCTAGAAATTTATCCTAAGAAAATAGATATGCAAAAACTCAAAGAAACTACCCATATTTTTACTGATAGTAGCAAAAACCTGGAAGTAGTCCAAAACTATATGCTAAAAATAATTTAAGTTTCAGTTGTGAGACTACAAGTGATTTTTAAGTATTTCCCTTTATGCTTTTCTAGTTTTTTTTTTCAACTCTTTATAATGAACAAATAGAACTTACAACCATCCAAATAGACTCTTGCAATTTTAAGAAAAGAGGTCACTGGGTCTTAGAAACAACATTAGCTAGATTCTTTTTTCATTTGAAACATTAAAAGTTAAAATTACCCTAAAGTCATTAAAAGTAACTAAGTACAACACCTCAGCAATTTTTACATTGCAGAAGCACATGCCAAACACACCTAGGTTTTTTTCCTTAAACAAAAATCCAGAGAATAATGCATTAAAAATACATGTCTCTGAATTATTAATAGAATATAAAATGTAAACTTTAACCCAATGATTTTTATACCTATGTAATTTAAAATTAATTCCATTTGCCATGTGATTAAAAATTAGATTTATAATTGATGAAATATTATTCTAATCCTTTCTTTCTGAAGGTTATCAAGGAAAGTGAGAAAATAAACACATAATATTGCTTCCTCTTCCAAGATAAACATTTTAAGCATTCATTCAACAAATATTCATGAAGAGCTAAATGTATGTCACACCTTCCCTGGACATTCTGGGCATACAAAGATGGAGTTTATAAGGACAAATTCATCCTAATTGAAAAGACTGGAGGGAAATAGCATTTGAGGTGAACTAACGTAGGTCTTTGATACTAGGAAAAATGATTCCAAACTGTAAATATAGTAAAACTATAGGAATAGATACAGGAAAACATGAACAAATTGCAGGAAATAAGGAGTATTCATATTTGGCGAGAGCCCAGGATCACTAGAAGACTACATTCCCTAGTCTCCCTTGTATCTAGCAGGGGTCATGCGCCTGTATAAGTAGAGGAGTAGAGTGGTATGGAACTTGTAGGAAGTCAGTCTCCCTAAGAGGAGGTGAAGGAAGGATGAGATGAAATAAAGGAGAGGGGGTAGTATAACTCATCTTTTCCCCCTTGCAATTCTATTGTTTGAAACTTGGTTATGATGGCTGGAGCTCCAGCAGTTATTTTGGGTCATGAGGGTCAAAACCCAGGAATGGCAGAGGAGAGATCTAAAAAAGAGGCTTGGTTCTCTGATGCTGTATCGGCTTCCCGCTGAGTCTGGCCTTCTTTACATAGATTCTTTTCTGTGTTCTGTTTACTATCCTCCAAAAATAGTATTAAAGAACTGAAAATGATGCCATCATCTTTAATCAAGTCTCATCCAGTTACATGTATCTCTAATTGAGAACTCAACTCAATTTCTTTTTTTTTCTCAGAAAGTACAAAAGCTTCTTCCCCATTTTTTCCTCCGGTACACATACAAACCAATCACCCCTTGGATTTGATTAAGTTGGAAAATTCTTTCTGGTTATGAAGCAGCCAGGAACATACTTTCTGGTTTCAAACAGACCAGGCCTGAGGCTATATCCTATCGTAACCATAACACCTAGAAAAAAATCTTATGCATTAAAGTTAATGTAATTTTGGATGATTCAATGGCTAAAATTGGAGAACAAATTTTTTAAAAGTCAAGACAGCTGTTCAACCTCATAAATCTTATGTAATATTACTGAAAACAACTTTATTTTTTTTTTAAATAATTTTTATTTATTTATGATAGTCACACAGTGAGAGAGAGAGAGGCAGAGACACAGGCAGAGGGAGAAGCAGGTTCCATGCACCGGGAGCCTGACGTGGGATTCGATCCCGGGTCTACAGGATCGCGCCCTGGGCCAAAGGCAAGCGCCAAACCGCTGCGCCACCCAGGGATCCCTGAAAACAACTTTAAAATGTTTCTGTGTATACATCTATAAACACTTAAAAATCTATATACAAATATGTGTGTCTATATGTATATACATAGATATATAGATATGATATATATGTAGCTTTAGAAGTTGCATATTATATTGACACTCTAATATCCTCACAAACATAAAGGACAAAATGACATAAGAGCATTATCCTAAGCATGCTATCATTTTCAGCTACCTCTACTGAACTGTCATTAGACTATACATACACATACACACATGCGAACACACATTACCTTTTTCTTTAAAGATTTTATTTTTAAGTAATCTCTATACCCGATGTGGAGTTCAAACTCACAACCCCAAGATCAAGAGTCGCATGCTGCACCAACTGAGCCAGCCTTCACCCCAGAAAACACGTTACCTTTAGTTTTGTATTCTCAAGATTCAGAGTTTCATTTTCATATTCAATTGAATGAAGTTTTCTAAGAATTTCTTCACAAGAATTTTTTCCAAGGTCTTCCACTTTCTTTAGGTCTTCCAAAAGATTAGTAATTTGCCTTTATGAGATAGAGGATATGTTTTATAAAAGTCATGGAAACTTTCATTCAAATAATGCTTTTTAAGTGCATTTCTGAAATTAGGTTGGTAGGGTACGCTTTCTCAAAAGTTAGGACAAGTCACAGAACAAGGTGAGCAGGAAGCAATTATCTACCAGGTTACTACTTCGGTAACCTTGATTAGCAATAATTACCCATTAATGATGCCAACGAAAAATTATACAACATTCTCTTTGCTATTCCAAAATGTCTGAACTGTCGTCCTTGGTACATCTGTCTCTCATTCACACATATGCACACACATATACACAATCTCAAAGCCAAGGTTAAATAAAAGGATCAAGTGAGACAGTAACTCACCTTTAGAAGCTAGCATTATCCATGCTAGCTTACAATGATAAAATTGAAGAGGATATACAGAAAATAAAACATTTAAAAACAAATGTGCAGGGTTCACAGTTTATCAATAATAAATTTCAAAGCATAAAAGATAGGCATTTTTACTCATTGATTTTCTTTGTCATGCAATTAAGGCACTTTAAGGAACAATAGTTTTTCGGATTTTGAAAGCATTTGTGTTTTTTTATTGCAAGCTCCATTATATACTCTTACTTTCACATTCTTAGTAGAGAAATATCACTTCCATTTTAAGATAAAATAGTATTAACAATTACTACAAATAACAGGTGACACAAACCCAATTCAAAATACTAACCTACAAAGTTCAAAATGTGAACACCAAGGCACTTTTTAATGGGTAATCATTTTATTGTATTTTTAGAATAGAATAAGAAAAGTTTTTAGAATTATAAATAGCAAAAACATCAAATCATACGGACAAACTTCTCCACATGTAACCCAGAAGAACCAAAACGCAAACTGCTTAAAGAGGAAAGAACAGAAAATACTTCTTACTAAACCATAAAAAGATTCTAAATTTTTTTTCTTACTTTTTCATTGTTTCAATCTGAACTTCCAATTCAGTTTTTTCTATTACAATTTTCTCATAATGACTTTTCCAGGCATTGGAAGCTGAAATTGTTTCAGACAGCTTGGCTTCCTAAAAAATACATCAAGTACTCATCTTGTAATTGAATAACACTTTGGTTTTGTGCTCTAAACACAAATACAATACAAACAAGGAAACACGTATCCTATAAAGAATGGGGCTTTTGATATAGAAAATTTTAGTGTACAACTCTGAATATAGGAAACTTTTAAAGTAAATGCTGATAAAATCTTTATATTAGTATTGTTTTATATGTGTGTAGCAGCACTAGCAACACAACATTTTAAGGGTGTTAATATAACTATTTTTTATCAACGTTTCATAATTAATGAAGATAACTTCCTTCCTATTTCCTGAACTTTTCATTTTGCATTCTATATTTGGAAAATGCTAACACTACATAAGCATCAGACAAGAAGCCCTCTATGATATATACAGAAACTTTCTGAAATTCCATAATTCCATAGCATTAAGTAATGCAGCCTTATTTATTGTAGCTATAATGATGTCAAGCTGTTTTGTAGAGGTCACCCCTGCTGACCTTCAAACACCGTTATCGTCAGCAAAGAGATGAAGATTATTGTGGTGGCTATTCCACTTTGAATGTGAGCTCCCAGAGGTAGAGATTTTTGTCTGTATTGTTCATTGCTAGGACCCTGAATAGTGCCTGACACATAGAAGACTCTCAACAAATAACTGTCAAATGAATCTACTCTTTATAACCCATCTGGTGAGCTATAGTTATTGTGTCCCTGTCTACATTCTAGAGAACAACAAACTCACTGGGAAGACAACAATATCAATAATTATTAATCAAAAGACCCAGAAGTAATAATGATAGCAGTTAGTACTTATTGGGGGCTTCTTTCTGTCCTTCCATCATTCCAATCACAGAACAAGCATTTGTTGAGCATCTACAATGTGCAAGACTTTATTGGTTTACATTTTTTTACAGTAATATTGTTGATACATTGATAAAGTCTAGTATTCTGTTTTCATATTTTATATAAAGTGAATTTTAATTTACACTATGAAGTATATAAGTTGGGCCATATATATGTGAAGCATAAGTTGGGCAATATACTATAATGTAAAAATATTTAGAAATTGGAAAGCTCCTCTGAAGAGATGTCCATTAAAAATATACCTGAATGATAAAACAAAACAAAAAACACCAGCTATTGTGAATCCAAGAAGAACACTACAGCTGGAGATAATAGCAAACAATAAAACTCTCCACATTAGAGGAATAGAAAGGAGGTTAACATGGTAAAAATGTAGGATGGCTAGGCACTGTGCTTTAACATATATTTTCTCATTTATTCACCCCTACAATCATATGAGATGGGAATATTATCTCCTATTTTATAGATGAGGAAATGGAATCTTAGAGAGGTTAAGTACCTCAACCAAAGTCACTAGATGAACAAGCAGATGGGCCTTCCTGTACCATGATCTGGGGTATGGGTGACATGATGCTATTTAAACAATAATGCCTCAAGAATGTTAATGACTCGATTAGCTTTTACCACTCAATATTTTCAGGCATTCAACTAGATCTTATGACTGCCTAGATTTTGAACTTAGTCCTCACTTCTTTTTCTCTAGTTAAATTCTTCTGAATGTAGTTCATCTTTAAGTGTTAACACTCAAACTTATAAAATATGAAGTTGTTTTGTTTACACAAGAGTTTATGCAAGTCCACTTTCATTTCTAAAAGCCTCTAATAATTCTATAAGCCTTAATATCAGATCTTAAGAGGTGGACTACTCGTGAGACATTAAAGAGAGTAAATATTTTGTTAATTGCTAATTGAATAAATATAATTCCTCAAAAACAACAAAGCACTAAGTCAAGTTTTCAACTTTGTACTACGCCCAACGATAACTTTCACATGGTGTGTTTACGTCAGTGAATGGCTTTAAGTGCATTACAGAGTTCAAATGAAGTGAATTACTGAATACAATCATATGGTCTAGTAACATAAATCAGCATTTCCCAAACTGGTGTTCCTTAGAACCAGTTCCAAGAGTTGTTTTGTGGGTAAAACAAGAGTTCTGTGGTTAAATAAGTGGTGAGAAACTCTGAGTTCAAAACTCTTGGTCATACTGCTTTACTTTTACTAAAGGCCTCCTCAGGATTTTTAATATGCGATTGTACATTGTCCATTGTCCATTTCCAAGGGAGAATATGTATTAAGTGTTACCCTTAGTTTACCCTAGATGTTTTGGGACACACTTAACAGATCCTTTAATAAAGTTCCCAAGAAAATACTGATATAATTCAATATGCAAGTGACACTTTATGTAATCTTTCAAAATAAAGTCTAAGCAAAAGAGTGTGAATAAAGTTTTTCTAGTATCAATAGCATTAAGATATTAAGCATTATGATATTAAGCATTATGATATTAACTACATTAAGAAAGAATGTATATACTTACCTGATCTCTAATTTGGGAGGTAAGGTTTTCCATGTCTCCAGTAAAGTGTTTAAGCCTTTGTCTGTAAATTTTAGATGCCTTTTTTAGAGCTATAGTTTTTTGCCTACTTGATTCTTTCATTGCTACAGCTTCATGCTTATTCTTCCTCACTTGTAAGTTCCATTCAGCTATCTTGGTTTCCAAGCTCTAAAAATATATTAGTAGTACTTAAATTATTTTAGAACTCCAATGTTTGTGTAAACATTGTAAAAATACATAAATAATCTTCCATAGATTTTATCAAAAAATTAATCATAGGATTAATAAAAAGCAAAACAGTAAAGAAACGTGGTTTCCCAATGTTTATTTATAATCAGCTATAGAATGCAAATTTAAAATATATAAGCCTACATAAAACTAATCCTACTCTTAAAGATATTAATATTGGTGATTATGGTACAAGCAATTTTTAAAAACTTTTTAATTAACTAGAACTTATTAAAATTCCAGATCTAGAATATTATATATACATCGTACTAGTTACTGAAGTTCAAAAAAACCATAATTGAACTGGAAACAATCCAAACAAAATACACAAAGCTCAAAGGAATCAGTAGCTCCCTGCATATGTTAGGACTCTTTAGTTGAAATGATAAAGGCTTAAACAACATATGACTGACATCTATAGATGACAAAAGATGTAGACTACTTCCTTACATATCTCTTTGTGACATAACTAGAAATAGAATATTAGGCTGGGTGGATGATATATGTAATTCAGTGTGATAATTTTCATGCTTTTATTTCAAATCATTTTCAGATTTTGTATTTAAAGTATTGACTCTGAAATACCTAAGAATTTAGAGACCTGAGATTTTAATACTTTTCCATTTTTTGAAAGTTGTGTAGTACTGAAAAAAAAGCTAAATTATTACAGAATTTAGGTTTTAGTTTAATATTTCTTGGACAATCATATTAATGAAAAAAAATCAAAGGAGTCACAGTAAAAGACTAGGTTTTTCTATTTAACTCCATGATCAACAAAAACTGTGTTTCTTAACTTCCATTAAAACTTAGATTTTTTTTAATTTTTATTTATTTATGATAGTCACACAGAGAGAGAGAGAGAGAGAGGCAGAGACATAGGCAGAGGGAGAAGCAGGCTCCATGCACCAGGAGCCCGACGTGGGATTCGATCCTGGGTCTCCAGGATCATGCCCTGGGCCAAAGGCAGGCGCCAAACCTCTGCGCCACCCAGGGATCCCTTAAAATTTAGATTGAGAAGTACATATTAAATAAGATTTAAGACTAGCCCTCTTTGAAAAGTGAACTCAGTAAATTAAGAGAAGCAGCAAAATACTCTTAGTCTTTAGAAATCTACTTAAACTAAAAATTCACATGAAATGTTTTAATAAGTAGTTGAGGGAAAACAAGTAAGCCCAAGAACAGTACAAGTCTACTTAAGACTCCACAGGAAATACGGCTGTCATTCCTCTATGAAACCACAGGGTGTCATCAGCACACTGTGAATAATTGCTACACTTTAAGTAATTAACCATTTTAAACACCAAAGGTAAAATAAATTTTTTGGAACAAGGTTCCAGTCAGGACTTTCTCACTAGATTTAGCCTATCCCACATTTGAGCACTGTTAGGGAGTATACTAAACTCTCCAATTATTTTTATTGTCTCAAAATAAATAACTCTTCACAGTCTTTTGCCAAATGAATGGACACCCATTTAAAGTCAACTATCTGCCTTTCCCTATTTCCAAAAAACTCTACATGCTGCATATTATGAAGATAATTATCCAGTGTCTTCTAAATAGTGAAAATATTCTATCCCTAATTGTTATATTATAAGGATCTGGAAAGAAAAATGGGTTAAAGTATCTTTGGGCTACTTTTCAGAGAACTACAATGTAATTTAAATTTTTTAGAGACCTAATATAATGAATTGACTCAATTGAGTCAATATTAAAATATTAAATGAGATTTATATTGCCAAATTGAGTTCATTATCTTTGTACTCCCAAAAGAATCTTGTGAAACCTAAATCAAAGAACTAAACTCTGACCCCCTCCAATTATTTAATGCCTTAAGTTCCAAAATTTGTGTTAAAGGGAAGGTAGATAAATCAGTAATCTAATGCAACTTCTTGTAATTATTTCTGAATAATAGGATTCTTGTAAAAGAATTTAAACTCAAAGTATTAGCAGAGTATCATGGCAAAATCTTAAGATTTTAGTCTTATATTCTTTAAATGATCATATGAAAATTGTTAACTTTAAAAAATCACTTCATTTTTAAATTGAAGAAAATACTTTCAAAAACTTCCCCAACTGCTATTTGAGGACATAATTAAAATTTGTGTAAGATAAATTGTGATAGATGATTATCTGAGGTGTTAAATTACATGTATTCTATTGTATTTACTATGGTACAGTAATGCAATATCAACTCTAGTTCATCTGTAATGCTCTAGGACACCTATGCAAAGGGCACAGGGAGTCCTTGGGGGAAGTGCTTAAGATCTTGTAGAAGACAAAGGACAAAACTTACATTCCCTGTCAGCCTGCTAAATGTCTCCTTACTGGGCAAAAGCTTTTCATCCTTGAAGGAAAAAAACAAACAAACAAACAAACATCCCCAGTGCAGTCTTGAAACATGCCATAGGTTGCAAACATCTGCTATGATTCAGGAGCGCAAAGCAAACAGAAATTTAATACAGATGTCCTCACACTTAATAGGAGTTATCTTTGTACACTTCTTTTCTCCAAGTGAGAACATTGTTTATTTTTCTTTTGGCAAAAATAATGACAATAGATCTAGTTAGCTTGTGTCATGTCATAGCAACCTCAAATTCTTATTTCAAAGTGCTAGTGAAGCTTCCAGAAGAATATTGAAACCACTGAGTTTAAACCAAAATATTCCCTTTACTTACATTGCTTAAAAAACTGCATCACAAGAATGTTACTCAGTTTTCTAAACACCAAAGCTAAGTAATTTTAAAGTTGCTACCATTAGTGACAAACACAAAAATAATAAACATATACCGAATGCCTACTAAAAGTATGTATTTATGTGTAGATTTTGCAAACAGACATTATATCCCAAGATATTAATAATGGTTTCAGTGTTTTTAAGTTATTTTAATTTTCTCTTTTATACTTAACATATTTTTCACAATAAACATCAATTAACTATATAATGAAAAAGATTTTTAAAAGCTCTATAGATCCTTCCTACTCTAGTATTAAAGAGAGAAACCATTTTTATCTTGGGATTTTAGGACCAAATCTCTAGATAGGCTAGAAATCTTAAGATTTGCCTCAAATATGTATTTCCCATGGCAACACTTAAATTGAATTCTTCCAAAACCACTGAATTCCAGAACTAAGGAAGGGCTTTATACTTGTTCATTAATTTTATCACTTAAACTATAAAAATGACTGAATATTTATAACCTTTATGTATTCTTTTAATTTATCATTCTCTGCTTCCTTTTTATGAATTTGGAACTGTAGTCGTTCATGTACTACTTTCACTGACTGTGAAAAACGGTTTGCTTTCAAAGCATTTGCCTGTAACAGAGAAAACAAACAAAAAGAAGTGTTGATATGTTTCTTCATAATCTCTAACTTTATCCATATTTAGACATGATCTAAAAAGTTGACATAAGCAAAATACCACTTTACATTAACCATGACCTCCCCCATTATAAATTTTATATAAAACCATGGGGCTATTTTCCCCATCTCCCCTTTTATTTAATGGCTCCTGATAATCTTTTAAAAATTTTTACCTATTCTAAGTAAATTATATCTAAAATGTTCCTACAAACCCTAAAATTCCTTAATTTATACTAAAATTTAAAATACAATTTTAAGATTTTATTTATTTATTCATGAGAGACATACAGAGAGAGAGAGAGCGGCAGAGACACAGGCAGAGGGAGAAGCAGGCTCCATGCAAGGAGCCTGATGTGGGGCTCGATCCTGGATCTCCAGGATCACGCCCTGGGCTGAAGGCTGCGCTAAACCGCTGAGCCACCTGGGCTGCCCAACTGAAATACAAATTTATTCATAGTTCCTATGTATAGTGATTTATGTCAATTACCCTGACTTAAATACCATAAGAATCTTTTAAAAAGAAACCTTAAGAAAACTTGTAAAATATCCAAATATAAAAACCTTTCTGTGTCTATTTCTGAGGATATGGAGGCCAGGATGGGAAAAAAGGAAAAGAGGGAGTAAATATTAAGAAAAGATGATGAATTAAGCTCAAAATTTGCTTACCTTTTCATTCTGAAACAAACAAGAAAGTTCTTGAATATAGGTCTCCTTTTCAAGTACCCTCTTCTTAAGATTCTTCAGCAAATATAATGTAAGAGTTAAAAATATCACAATATGGTTAATGTTGGCTAGTTATAAATAAAAATGTCAGAGTAGACACCAAGTATAAAAAGACTTACAGTATTTTCATTTTCATTATGAGTTAGCTTCTCTAACATGCTGGATAAACTGTCCCCTGCCTATGAAAAAAAGATGTTATAAATCAGTATTGACAAACATATTTCTCTACATAAAAAAGTAGAAAGAATAAGCATCACTTAGAAACTAATATGGACAACCATCATGCACACTTCAGATTTTTAAAAAAGTCATCAGATGGATTTTTGCCTAAGTGTTCCAAATCACTTTTTGTCCACAGGTTATGAAGTTGATTATATGCTAATTTTTAAATAATACCTCAGACAGTACAATCCAGTGACATAAAACCCACAAAAATCGCGTATACTAAGGAAGCTCATTGTGCTGTTTATAAATAGGTAAAAAATATAAAAAACCTTAACTCTATCAAGTAAGAATTTTTTTAAAGAATTACAGCATGTTAGTAAAAGAATTTTATGTAGACATTTTAAATGAGAACAAAGAAAAAATGTTTATTCATTTTGAGAGTCAGACTCCTGCTTGAGAATGTGAAAAAGCTATGAATTCCTTTCACCCAAAAACATTTATACCATGCATATATAATGTATAACTACACAAACAATTTCAGAGGGCTTATGGACTGCATGAAGCCCACTTTTGGGCTCTGCAAAGGTACAGAGTGGAATTGCTTGGCATACACAAATTTCCATTCCTCTTGGGTATAAACAACTTGTAAATAAATGTTCACAGCAATTTTATGCATAACAGCCAAAAAGCAGAAGCAACCCAAATATCCATCAGCTAAGGAATGGACAAATAAAAATGGAATAGGTCTACAATGAAATATTATTATTCAGTAATAAAGAGAAATGAAGTACTGACATGTGCTATAACATGGATGAACCTTGGAAGGCATTGTGTTAAATGAAAGGCCGGTTATGAAGAACCACATTTTATATGATTCTATGTACATGAAATGTGTAGAATCAGCAATTTGTAAAAACAGAAAGTAGATAATAGGGTAAGGAAGGATGAGTGGGGTTGGGAGGTAGGCAAACTTCTAAAGGATGTGGGGTTTCTTTTTTGTGGTGATGAAAATGCTCTAACATTGACTATGGTGATTACTGCACAGTTCTGCGAATATACTAAAAACTACTGAATTGTACACTTTAAGTGGGTGAATTGTATGGTATGTGAATTATCTCTCAACAAACTGTTACCCCCCAAAATAAATGAATGTAGGAATGCAATCATACAAAGGAACTTCAATTCTAAGAAAATTTTATTGTAATCAGCTAAAATGAAATATAACAAACAATGAAAAATTTTGGGATAGAAAATACTCAAAGTACTTATAAACATGCTGTTTTTACGTAGAACTATTTGTGAAATGTTAAGAATAAGGTTTGGTTTAATGATTGCCATTTCAAACAAAAATTCAAGAATTATTTCCATTTCAAATATGCCAGTAATTCAATTTCTACAGTTTCAGAAATAGTAAATCCTTCAAGTGAGAAATGTATCTATTAGATTAGTGCTTAGGGTTCCTTACTTGTTGGGATTCTGTCTTTCTAAGAAGATGTTCTAAAGCTTGTTTTACACGTTTGAAAGTGTCTAATTCTTTTGTTAATATTTCCTTCTGTTTAGAAATCTTCTTCAAAGAGGATGCAAAAAGATTAGCCTACCAAATATAAGAACCACATACACATTTTAAGATACAGCATTAAAAAAAATTTAAAAGATACAGCATTAAGACACTTCTAAAATACAATGCTGCTATTATCAAAGAATACTTTATTCTAGTAACAAAATCATTTTTGCATATAGTAAAAGCAAATTTTGCCAAGTTTCTTCGTAGTAAATAGGATCTTACATCATACATTAAAGTAATGAAATCAAAATAAGGACTTAAGCCCTAAGTATTTCAGGCATTTATTTAAATAAAGCTAATAGAATACAATCTATTTTTTTTGTCTCAAACTTTAGTACACTGAAATTTTAGAATACAGGTTTCTATGCCATATAACACTACAGAAGATAGATATATCCCATATCACGGAATATTTTACTTTAAATTCACTCTGGAAAATGTTGACTCTCTAGTTCAACTTCAGGGAAGTCAAGCACCACGTTATATACTTCCTAGCTTAGCCTCTTAAAAAGCGCATGCCTGAGATTATCTTTGAAGAACTGCAGTTAATGACGTAGAAATAAGGACAACTAATAAACCTGCAATTTTTAATATCAAATATCAATATGTGAGCATAACTATATTAAGACATAACACTGCAGTTAATACATTAGTATTATGCTAACTGTCCATTTTATTAGATTTTCATAAGTACTCACATTTTCAAAACTAATCTCTTCAACGGTATCCTTAAATAATGGCAAAAATAATTCTACAGAACAAGTTGCCAACTCAGCTTCCTTAAATGTTGCTTCCAGGTCAGTCTCTTCATTCAGGCTGTCTTGCTTTAGACTAATTAGATATGCACAAATAAAATTTAAGTTAAATCTGTCACATAAACTAGTTATACTTTTTATGCAAATATAGCACAGTTTAACTAAATATTACAGTTCCAAAAACTGCTTCCAAAATGTAACAATAAATTGTCACTGAAAATCTGTGAAATTTTTCCTATACTCCCCTATTTTTCTATACTTAATAAACACAGAAAAATAGTTTTTAAAATGTTTAGATATGTAAACACAAAAACCAACAGAAATACTTCACTGTGCTACTTTGTAATTATTTAATAGAATGTATTTGTCTTTTTTACTTCCCTTTCTTCTCCCTATTCCAAATCCAAAAGATTTTTCTAGACCTTATTCCCAAATGCTTTCTTGAAACTTCCTATTCTTCGCAAAAAAATTCCTCCAGAAGAACAATAAGCTAAACAAATGGGACACAAAAAACTAAAGCTCTCCAAATCTCAAAACTCCCTTTGAGTCTAAAAAATTTTTGAGAATACTCTATTTCACTTACATTTTTTATATGAACAGAGTTATTTGAAGTCAAAACCTACGTGTAACTAAGTTTGAAGGAAACTTTTCAGTATTTATAAATAAAATTCCAAGTGATAGGAAAGCATTTTGTCTTTAACAGGCAGCTTTTCTTTCTTTCTTTCTTTCTTTCTTTCTTTCTTTCTTTCTTTCTTTCTTTCTTTCTTTTTCTCTTCTCTTCTCTTTTCTCTCTCTCTCTCTCTCTCTCTCTTTCTTTCAGATTTTATTTATTCATAGAGACAGAGAGAGAGGGGCAGAGACACAGGCAGAGGGAGAACCAGGCTCCACGCAGGGAGCCCGATGTGGGACTCGATCCCGGGTCTCCAGGATCACACCCCAGGCTGCAGGCGGCGCTAAACCGCTGCACCACCAGGGCTGCCCAGCATTTTTTCTTTCTTTACAAAACGTGATATAATCACTCATCAACAGCTGATGGGAGGCTATGTCACAAAGCAGGCTGTGTTAATTACTGCTGCTTATTGTTATAGGTGTAAGATGCTGGCTATATGACAGTTATCCATTATTAAAAACGATAGGCAGACGAAAGTCAAGAATGGTTATATATGACCAAATATAACTGTCACTTTAACAAGCTAAACTAGAAGCTGGATTATACTACCAAGGTGACAATAATGGTATTTTAAGGCTGTCTTTTTATGGGGTGCCCAGATGGCTCTATTGGTTAAGCATCTGCCTTTGGCTCAGGTCATTATCCCGGGGTTCTGGGATCAGGCCTTGAGGCGGCTCCCTGCTGAGGGACCTGCTCCCCCTACTTGTGCTCTTTATCAAATAAATAAATCTTTAAAAAAATAATTTAAAAAAAGACTGTCATTTTGGTGAGCAATGAGTCATATAAATAGCAACTGTATTCCCTATTCTTTCTTTTTTTTAGAGATTTTATTTTTTTTTTTTGGGGGGGGGAGAGAAGGAGAGGGAAAGAGAGAATCTCAAGCCAACTCCCCACCAAGCATGGAGTCCAATGTGGGGCTCAAGCAAAGGAGCCTGAGATCATGACCTGACTGAAATCAAGAGTTGGACACTGAGCCACTCAGGCACTCTGTGAATACCTTATTCTAAAAAAGAAAGCAAAATGGGAGAGGTATTTGTTATATAGCAATGTTCCAAATAAACAGTGAATAAGTACTCATCAACTCCATTTCCAATATTCCATACTATTTCTATTTTCATTTACTTTAGTTATAAGGCTTATTATCCTAATAATTCTCAATAGATAAGGCATTCATTTTTTATGTTTTAAGATTCCAAAAAACTAGCCCAATTATGCTAAATTAGTACATCTGTAATCAGGTTAATTAAATATATGAACTGCTAGACTTGAAGAAGATACTCTTGAGAGAATGCTGTATTTCAGTCAAATAATTTCCAGTATGGACAAAACATAAAATGTAAAAATCAGAAAATTAGATATCTCCTGCCATTATTAAGAATACCAGCTGAGGGATCCCTGGGTGGCGCAGCGGTTTGGCGCCTGCCTTTGGCCCAGGGCGTGATTCTGGAGACCCCGGATCGAGTCCCATGTCAGGCTCCCGGTGCATGGAGCCTGCTTCTCCCTCTGCCTATGTCTCTGCCTCTTTCTCTCTCTCTGTGTGACTATCATAAAATAAATAAAAAAAAAAAAATAAAAAAAAAAAAATAAAAAAAAAAAAAAGAATACCAGCTGAGATGACTTTCACTGGCAGCCTGTGGTAAATGTTCATTCTCTGGTGTAGTTGTAAAATGAGAACATAGTTCTTCTGAATGACTTCCATCAACCGCAGGCTTCTCCATAAATTTGATAAATGGATTTAGAGTTGGCTTCCACAACGACTCCTCCTCCTAAGCTGAAAGCTAGGAAATATTTTAGTTATTAAACTTATCATTTCAGTAGGTTCTTTTTACTATCATTACCCTATAAAATAAAAATCCTAAGCATGTTAAAGAATAATATTTTAGAGGCAAAATAGAAATTACAACCGCTACTCATAGTGATACTAATTCAGAAAGTGTCAAAACTGCATTACACAACCATTCCACAATTGCCAATTCCATACAGTTTCCAAAAGGTCCATTATTTTCCATATAACCACAATATAGAAATTTTTATTAATATATTTCTTAAGTATTATAATATCTTAATCCAGTCAAACTAGAAAAGAAATATAAAAATATGGTTAACTCTGATCCTTAGTTTCATTATATCTACCCAATAGGAAATGTATGTTCTGTATGCCTAGAATAGTAGAAATTTAATATACTTTTGAGAGTATTTGGCAACAATTGCTACAATAAGATTAAATTATTCTTTTCAAAGTAGACCTTACAAAATTAATTCATTCCTATTTCCCAGCTCAATCTAGGATATTCTTTGGTGATAATGAATAGACAGATGATAATACTTGTAAGTTTTACTATTTTCATTCCAACTTAGAGATGTCATTTTTCAACTGTGAATACTCATGAATTTCTTCAGAACTGTTCCATTTTGGGACGCCTGGGTGGCTCAGTGGTTGAGCATCTGCCTTTGGCTCAGGTTGTGATCTCGGTATCCTGGGAATCAAGTTCTTGCAACAGGTTCCCCACAGGGAGCCTGCTCCTCCCTCTGCCTATGTCTCTGCCTCTCTCTGTCTCTAATGAATAATAAAGTCTTTAAAAAAAAAAAAAAGAACTGTTCCATTTTAAGTAATGAATTAGTGCTTTAGCAATCATTAAAGCTATGTTTTCACAACTCTAATATATGGTGTCTTCCTGAACTTCATTTCATATTTATACAAAATCAAATGCTATATTTAAGATCTCCCACATTTTTTCAGAGATATTTCACATCTCTGTAATTTATTTTTCTAAATCAGTATTATACATTTGTTCAAAAATTTTCAATACTGTAAGTAGATATGAAGAAATTATAGATTGAAAATTACTCGTATTTTTAAACACTTTGAAAGTATCTATAAAAATGCATTTATTTTTGTCTGAAGGTTCTATACACCACAGAAACAAATATTTAGGATAGAGACCAAAGAAAAGCATGCTCATATTTTTGAAATACCAGCAACTTATGTACAAATGAAACTGCTAACTAATCTACCGATAGTCTAAGATGATCTACTAGAATGCTGCAAGTCTGAAACATGTTAGTAGGGTGTTAACAATATTTTGAGTATTTTGAGCTATCTGAAGTCTTAAAGAATTAAAAAGATATATGGATACACAAAATCAATGAAAAACCAAACCTAAGAGTGAAGAAGAATATGATCTGGATAAGTCACTGCAATCAACAGTACTATCATCTACTGATCTGTTTGGTTCCAATAGCTACCCTACTACTCACAGAGGAACCTTTTATTCATTCACTTGTTTAAAATTTGTTGCTTTGCACATTGGAATCTCAAGAAAGAATTTTTTTTTTAAATTTACGATAGTCACGTACACACACACAGAGAGAGAGAGAGAGAGAGAGAGAGAGGCAGACATAGGCAGAGGGAGAAGCAGGCTCCATGCACCGGGAGCCCGACGTGGGATTCAATCCCGGGTCTCCAGGATCGCGCCCTAAGCCAAAGGCAGGCGCTAAACCGCTGCGCCACCCAGGGATCCCCAAGAAAGAATATCTTATTTACATTTGAATTCTTAGCACCTATAAGCCTCATAAAAGCTAAGCAATAATTGAAGGAGAGGACTCAAGGCTTAGAGCAGTTAACATGATGAATAAAGACAGTTGCTTTTCACTTACTTCACTGATTCATCTTTTAGGGGAATCATTAAAAGAAAAATGTTTCCTATATTTGAAATAAAAGTTCAAAAATATGGGCACCAGGGTGGCTCAGTGGTGGAGCATCTGCCTTGGCTCAGGTTGTGATCCTGGGGTCCTGGGATCGAGTCCCACATCAGGCTCCCCACAGGGAGCCTGCTTCTCCCTCTGCCTATTACTCTGCCTCTCTGTGTGTCTCTCACAAATAAATAAATAAAATCTTTAAAAATTTTTCAAAAATATAAGAGGATTAGGGATCTTCAATTTGTAGGCTTATTTTATAAGATTCAGTTTGGGATCAGTATTTTAAATGAATTCTTACTTGGCTCTGTGGGCTATTGGCAGCTATTTATACAAATTCTCCAAAAGTTTTATCACAAGATGAAATACATTTTTCTGCATCATCATCTGTAAGAAGTAACTATGTCTTTTCTTAAAGGGTAAACAAAATGAACACATTGTAAAAATAGAGATTCAAAAATGTTACCTTCATTATTGATTCTAAAACATAGAGAACTGTGTAAGTCAAGTCTCAGATATTTCCATAGAAATTATCAACAATTACATTCTTACAATCTAGAAATGTTTTCCGGGATAAAAATTGTTCAGAGATTCCAAGGCACTCCATTATTTTTGTGTTGTGATATTACTATAACCAAAAACATATGTATGCTCAACAATAATTTTCTTTAGCATAAAAAGTTCTACCTTTATAAAAAAAATGCTATCATTTTAGTGGGCCAAATGTATCCTTGTATGGAAAAGCAGATGTTTCACAAGAAAACATTTTCAATCACATGGAATTTACTGCCAAATGACAAATGTACTTCTGTACAACTTGGTGATGAAACAAAGACACATTCTGCATACATATTTAATAACCAAACCCCTGAAGATTAGAAATTTAAATATATTTTAATGTTCAAAGAATTAAATTTCCTGTACAGAGATGACTTTACCAGTCCCCTATCAAAAAGGCATGTACTTAAAGCTTTTTCCAGGCATGGTCATCGTTTATGCTGACCCAGCTACACTCACTAAAGTATGTTCCATTTTGGCCAACAACAAGCATTTGAGGGATGGCTGTTCAGGGACTGTAATGTTGGCCATAGTCAGAGAAAAGAAAGATCCCAGTTCATGCCCTTCCTCAGCATCTAGATTGTTCTAAGTAAACAAACCAGCTGCAGACAAATATATATTTAAAGCTAATCTATCTGAAGAGAAAAGCATAAGAACCTCACAGATTTCAATTTGTTTTGCCAAACATTAACTCTTGGAAAACGAGCTCCCATTGGCTTCACACAAAAGCACACAGCTTCTCCTGAAAAAAATCACTGAAATATTCAGCAAAAAATATAAAGTAGATATAAGAATGCTGCTCATCTCTCTGATTATTCTACACACTAGTCAAAGTCTACTAAAGAATTGCAGAATCCTGCAGAAACAATGTGTGTGTGGTAAAAATGAGGAGAAAAGGGCAATCTAGGTAGAGGGTCAAGTATAAGCAAGAGGAAGGAATCACAAAGGGACATGATTTGCCAGGGCAAGTGGCAAAGAAGGAGACTGGACACACTGAAGTGGTCACTGCACGCTAAGTTCAAAAGCTTGATTTTTTTTTCCCCAACGGTTAAGACAGACCATTAAATCATCTTAAGCAGGATCATAACAGATCAGAAGTGCATCTTTATTTTTTATTTTTTTAAAAAACATTTTATTTATTTATTCATGAGAGAGACAGGCAGAGACACAGGCAGAGGGAGAAGCAGGCTCCATTCAGGGAGCCGGATGCGGGACTCAATCTGGGTTCTCCAGGATCACGCCCTGGGCTGAAGGCAGATGCTTAACCTCTGAGCCACCCAGGCGTCCCAGAAGTGCATCTTTAAAAGATAAATCCATTGGTATTTTGGAGAATGGACCAAACCTATGGAGGGGAGAACCGTAGGAGCACTGAAATCAGTTATTAGGGTCCCAGAGAGATAAAATTCCAATATTCTCTGCCTAGAAAGTCTTGAAGAAATCGAACATTGTCTCCCCTGGTGATAAAAACATGAAAAAACAATGAAGGAATCCAAGTAGCAAGAGATCTGTACAGAAAGTGACCGAACAGAGCACCTCATGTACCTATGACCATCTGGATGGGTTGCTCCACATACCTGTTCCAGAAAACGACAGCGTATATCCCTTTAAGTACCGCATATAACTTATTAGTTTGAAGAAAATCTTCTCAAAGTCTTATTTTTTTCTTTCTCAAGAGGACAGGTAGCCTGAACAAGATTCCTTAAGGACCCAGAGCATATTAAAATGAAAGAATACTGGGCCAGACTCACCTGTTCTCAGTCCTTGGAGCCACCTGACACGGACAACTCTTAGTCACAGCAGGCCATTGTTGCCTCTTCTACACAGAGAATAACCTTTGCCAGCCAAAGCTGTGGGGAGGCTTGAAGGGCATGAAGTAGCACTTACAGGTGGGGCTGTTTGTTTGTTGTTTGTTTGTGTGTGTGTGTGTGTGTGTGTGTGTTTAACTTAGGGTCTCTTTGGCTCATTGTTGGAGCTGATTTCCCACCAGGTCTTTTTAAAATCTTTTTTACTCTTAAAAAAATCATCCTGAGGCAGTACCACCATTCCTTAAATCAATCAATCACTTGCGGGCCTGAGTTTATCTGTATGAACCAACTTCTTAAAAACAATTCTTTCAAGACCTGCTCTTCACAGGATCACTACAAATCACCTTCAAAGTAGTAACAAGGGGAGTGTCGCTAAACCAGAGCCTAAGGGAACACAACTGACTTCGAAAGGAATTGAGCCCAGCGAGTAGATAGATGCCTTGCCAACCTCATTGCTACACTCAGCTCCTTGGGTCTCACTCATTTGTACAAGATAAAGCTACTTTCTCATACCTTTGGTTTTGGATACAAAAACCGTATTGTTTGCACACAAGCAACCGTGAAAGTAGAAGAAAGAGAAACAGAAAACGGGACACCTAGCTGTTAATGAATTATGGATATGACCATGACACGCTTATTATAAGCAGAAGGAAAGCAAACTGATTATAAAAACAGGTTGGGATGCCCCGGGGGGCTCAGCGGTTTAGTATGTGCCTTGGGCCCAGGGCTGACCCTGGAGACCCGGGATCGAGTCCCATGACTGGCTCCCTGCAGGGAGCCTGCCTCTCCCCCTGCCTGTGTCTCTGCCTGTGTGTGTGTGTGTGTGTGTGTGTTCTCATGAATAAATAAAATCTTAAAAAGAAAATAAAAACAGGTTGGGACGCCCCGGTGGCTCAGCAGTTTAGCAGGTGCCTTGGGCCGAGGGCTGACCCTGGAGACCCGGGATCGAGTCCCGAGTCGGGGTCCCTGCATGGAGCCTGCCTCTCCCTCTCTCTCTCATGAATAAATAAAATCTTAAAAAAAAAAAAAAAAAAAAAACAGGTTTGTCCCTTTAACCAAGCAACTGATTTTTAAAACTACTCCAAGAACCTCATTAATTCAAAAACACCCCTAACCTTCCTATGGGTGAAGTAACAGGCAAACTCTGTTGGAACAAGGGGAGGTGGGCGGTGGCCTGGGGTGACCAGGTGACGGGCACTGAGGGGGGCACTTGGCGGGATGCGCACTGGGTGTTACGCTATATGTTGGCAAATTGAACTCCAATAAAAAAAAAATCAAAAAAAGAAAAAAGAAAAAGCAGCAGACCTAAACCGCAGAGCCGGCGTGGCGGCGGCGGCGTTCTCGACCCACAAGGGCCCCGCCACCTATACTCCAACCTGACGTCGCCTCACTCAAGGCCCTTTACGGCAGCCCCTCCAAGGGAGCCTCGTGGTCGTCATCCTGCAGGTAAGGGACGCGGGGGCCCGGCCCGAGGCCGCACACACTGGACGGGGTTTCCCACAGAGTCTGCACACCCAGAAAAACCCGGAGAAGCACTTAGGGGATTCGCCGCTAACGCAGCCGCACGCCCTGCCACAGGCTGGCAGACTCGGGGTGGTCGAGAGAACAGAAAGGCCGCCACGCCCGAGCCGGCCGGCCCCGCCAGCGAGGATCCACAGCCGCGCCGCCCTCTTCCCGCGCCGCGCAGGGCCTTCCGGGCAGTCACGCACGCGAACTAGCGGCCGAGGCCCAGCTCTCGCGGTGCACGCCGGGGCCGTCGCCCCCACCACCACCCCGCCCGCGGTCCCCGCCAACCAGCCGTCCACGCCCAAGCTCCGCCCCGCTCCCGCTGCGTCAGCACGCCGCCGTGACGTCAGCCCGTCGCGGCTCGGCTGTGGAAGGGCTGCGAAGATGACGCTCGGCGGACGTCGGTGGAAACCGCGAGCGGCGTACCTGAGCTTCCCCAGCCCTGGGTCGGCGGGGACAGAGCGGGACGCAGGGGGCAGTGCGGCAGGCGGAAGCTAGAAAGGTGGCAGCCGGCGAGTCGCTAGAACTGCTGGGGACGGAGGCGTGCCCGCCCGGTGCACCCGGAGCTGGTAACCATCGAGCGGCTTCTCTGGCAACGGCCGCCCCGCCCCTTCCGTCGGGCTGAGGCGACGCCGCCGATTGGCCGGGCTCGGGAAAGGCGGCGGCCGCGTCTGTTGCTATTGGTGCGGGCGCGGGGCGGGGCGGGGCGAGGGGCGGGGCGCCCTGCGTCTCCGGGTAAACTTTTCCCGCCCGCCCTTCAAAAGGCTGCGCTTGTGTGTAGTTACCGAAATCTTAATTGAGCTCAACCTAGAAAGGGAAGTAGGACCGACAGATTGCGAATTTTCCGGCACATGGCCTGGAAGTGCCCTTCTTTTTTTTTTTTTAATTTATTTATTCATGAGAGACAGAGAGGCAGGCTCCATGCAGGGAGCCCGACGTGGGACTCGATCCCGAGTCTCCAGGGTCACGCCCTGGGCTGAAGACAGACGCTTAACCACTGAGCCACCGGGGCTGCCCTGGAAGCGCCCTGTTTTTGCATTTAAAGGGGGCACTTGAAAAAGCCAAAGCAACAGCGGCTACAGGGAACCTGGTTTTTGAATACACGATATTGCTGTTTAACTGCGATCTTCTCTAGGCCTCTTTGCTTCTGTGAGATTGGGAGCTGGACGGTGCTCTCCAAGGCGCCTTTCAGATTTTAAATTCCTTGCATCTGTTCTGCACCCGGCTAGGATGATTTATGAACTCCTGAACACGCAAGGCGAGATTTTACTTAGAAAAGTAAAACAGGGCAGCCCGAGTGGCTCAGCGGATTAGCGCCGCCTTCAGCCCAGGGCGTGACCCTGGAGACCCGGGATCGAGTCCCACGTCGGGCTCCCTGCATGGGATGGGGCCTGCATCTCCCTCTGCCTCTCTCTCTGTCTCTCTAATAAATAAATAAAATCTAAAAAAAAAAAAAAGTAAAGTAAAACATTATCCACTTCAACTCTTAATGTTCATGTTCAGAACTGTACACCATCATGTGAAGTTCACAAATAGAGCCACTATCACCTCAGCAGTTTTAGCCCCGACGCGGCATACCTCATTATTGATTTTACTAAATATTTTCCATTGATGAGTACAGCAAAGCTTTTTTTTTTTTTTTCAGGGCTTATTGTCCAGTAAAACGTTCATGATAGTGAAAAGTTCATTCTTATCGATCATGTAACTGTTACATATATACAAATGCTTAAAAAAAAAAACCCACTGGGACTGGATTCAGCTCTTCCTGATGGATCATGACCTCTGGCAAGTCCGGTGACTTCCCTACTCTGGGCTTGTCTTCCCTTCCACTTAAATAAAAAAGGGGGGTGCGCATGTGGAGTTGGGGGAAGGAAATTAATTTTGAGGGTCTTTCCAGCACTTATCTGGGATGCTAGCTAACCTTACTAGTGTGTCATAACAAGATAAATAATTGCACACAGAAGTTAGGCTTTTCATGAAAACTATTTTAATTAAATTGCATCAGTGTCAGATGTAGCCACCTTTATAAGACATGCAAAAGGAAAAACACAAAATCTCAAGAGGATTATATTAGATTCTCAAATTGACCCTTTTAACAGAACTATTCAGGTAAACCTGCCATCTCTTATCTTCTAATCTGTTCTAATCTAAATTTGAAATCTTGTCAGATAGTGAATTTTTGGATAGAAAGATCCCTTATTGAGGTAGGCGCCTGGGTGGCTCAGTCCGTTAAGCATCTGCCTTCGGCTCAGGTCCTGATCCCAGAGTCCCAGGCTCCAGCCCTCATTCCCTGCTTAGTGGGAAGTCCGCTTCTCCCTCTGAACCCTCCTCCCTCTCATCCTCTCTTTCTCCCCCTCTAATAATAAAATCTTTTTAAAAATCCCTTATTTCATATTATTTAAATGGGAAAAAAATTCGTCCAGCCCAACTAAAAATGCCAGTCAATTTCCCCAAATATTAAATACTTGACTACCTATAAAATAATAAAGCAAGGATTTCCTCACAACTTAAAGCAGAGGCCAACACTTTTTCCGTAAAAGGACACATAGTAAATATTATAGATTTGTGGATTATACAGAATATATCATATTTAACTCTGCCATTGATGCATAAAAGATGCCATAGAGGACACATAAACACATGGTTTGGCTGTGTTCCAGTGAAACTTAATTTACAAAAATAGACACCAGGATAGATTTGGCCCACAGGACATAGTGTGCAGACCTCTGATATAAAGCATTTAAAATATCAAGTACTTCGTAAATATTAAACTCACAAGTGGTACAGTTGTGTGTAGGATTCAAGATACAATATTGATAGAATTCTGTTTTCCTTCCTCATGAGAACAAATATATACTGTGATGTAAAAATAGCAAACAATGAAATAGTTTAAAGATACTTGATGAATATAAATAAAGTTTAGCAAAATAAAAAAGCAATTTAAAAAATAGTTTGCTTGTGTAATTATTTTCATTGGGTTTATCCTCCACTCTGAGTTGCATGTGTTCTTTCCAACATGTTTTGGTTTTCTTTTGCGGTTTTAACAAACTTAGTGGTTTACAACAAGTGTTTTATTTGTTCGTGATTCTGTGGTGAGAAATTCAGGCAGGGTTCAGCTGGGTGGGGTTTTATCTCCATGCATGTGGAAATAGCTGGTGTCTCTCATCAAGCTGCAACTAGATTATTGCTGAGGCTGGAATATTCAAGATTATATGTTTGGTGACATGGTGGGCTCAACTAGAAGGCTAAGACTTCTTGCATCCTATCCATGTAGCTCTGCATGTGGCCAGCTTGAGCTTTTTTTTTTTTTTTTTAAATCATCCCTAGAGTGAGTGTCCCAGGTAGCAAAGGAAGAAACTGCATATCTAAAGCCACACAAGTGCATCACTTCTGCTGCATTTTGCTATCTAAAATATATCAGACGGCCAGCCCAAATACGAGGGAAAAAAGTAAAAGATTCCACCTCTTGATGGGACAGTGTCAAAGTCTAATTGAGTCTATGGAAACACAGTTTACCCCACAAGGCATTAAGGTATGTGCCATTTCCTGATCATCAGGTTCTATCAATACAGTATCATAAATGTAGACAAAAGTGAATGTCCCACAAGGTGATGAAATGATCATGGTCCCTACACAGGGTAGTATGACAGAGAACTAAAGACCTAACATAGCCCTTATGGAAAGCATAGTTGTATTTTCTGAAACAGTCTTTTGTGAATATTTTCTCTCATTTTGTATCTGGCCTATTCATTTTCTTTTTTTTTTTAAAGATTTTATTTATTTATTCATGATAGACACAGAGAGAGAGAGAGAGAGAGAAGCAGAGACACAGGCAGAGGGAGAAGCAGGCTCCATGCAGGGAGCCCAACGCGGGACTCCATCCCGGGGTCTCCAGGATCACGCCCTGAGCCGAAGGCGGCGCTAAACCGCTGAGCCACCCAGGGACCCCTGGCTTATTCATTTTCTTAATGATACTTTTTGGTGAGCAGAAATTTTATATTTTGATACAATCTAATAGACCAACATTTTTCCTTTTATAGTTTTGTGAATACATTGTATTTTTTCTACATGTTTTAGGAGTCTAAGCTTTTATATTTAAAGGTATGACCCATCTTTTTTTAAAGATTGTTTATTTATTAGAGAGAGAGAGTGGGAGAGAGCATGAGCAGGAGGAGAAGCAGGAGAAGCAGACTCCCTGCTGAGCAGAGAGCCCTATGCAGGGCTCCATCCTACCACTCCAATATCATGACCTGAGTCAAAGGTAGACCCTTAACTGACTGAGCCACCTAGAGCCACCCTGTATGATCCACCTTGTATTCATTTTTTTGTAAGGAATGAAGCAGGTATCAAGGTTTACTTCATTTTATATAGATTTCCAGTTGTTCTACCATCATTTATTTGAAAGACTTTGACATTGAATTAATTTATTACTTTTACTGAAAATGATTAGACCTTTCATATGCGAGTCTATGTATGGACCTTCCATTCTGTTTT